GAGGCTGAGAATGGGGAACAGAGCTCCAAGACCCTTCACAATAATGGCCCATGACATTCCAGGTTGAACCTAGGCAAGCTGACAACTGTAGGGAGAAAGGGGTCACAAAAGATTCAGTTTCCACTTAGGGCAGAAATAGCATTTGCTAGAGTAGCCAGCAAAAGATTGAGGATTGTGGGGACTACTTGGGGTGTTACAGTGGTACATCTCTCATGTGTCCTCCTTACAGCTGTTGCAGCAACAGTAATAGAGTTCCCTTTGAAGACTGGATTCCATTCTAAATGTTGGATATCTACTCCTGAGCTATGGACAATTTGGAACTTGTAAGGGCAAAGCAATCAATCAAACTTAGAGAGTTCTGCTTATCTATTAAAATACCAAGGGTCATATTCTGGTTTCAGAGACATAAATACCTATCTAGTTAAAGTCATACAAGCTTTACAAATCCAAATAACATTTTAGTTCTTAAAATCTCATGTTACAAAGAAATGTTAAAAGGAGATTCTGTTCATCCTGCTCTTTACTGTAACTGGGAAAGCTGTGCCATCAAAACCACAATAAAAAGAATCAGATTAATAAATTATATATTTTCTTCAAAAACAAAGTAACAAAAGAAAGAAGAGGGATTCCTCCTTTTGGCTACAGTGCCCAAGTTGCATGTCTTTGCAAAAATCAAATTTAAGAAATTCATATCTTAAGTCCATATTATCTACCAAATAATGTAATTCATCTGTGTTATTGCACTTCAAAGAAACCTTACTAAGGACAAAGCAATGAACCATCCCGATGCACAGGGAGGCTAGTAAGTATGGCAGAAGACCAGCTTGGCTTAGCAGGGAATTCTTCAATGAGCCAAAATACAAAAATGGAGCTTATGAGAAGTGGAAATGTGGACAAATTACTAGGGAGGAGTATAAAAGTATTGCTTAGGTATGAAGGGATGAAATCAGAAAAGCCAAAGCACAACTGGAGTTGCAGCTAGCAAGTGACATGAAAGGTAACAAGAAGGGTTTCTACAAATATGTCAGCAACAAGAGAAAGATTAGAGAAAGTGTGGGACCCTTACTGAATGGGGGAGGCAACCTAGTGCCAGATGATGTGGAAGAAGCTAAAGTACTCAATGTCTTTTTTTACCTCAGTCTTCACAGGTACGGTCAGCTCCCAAACTACTGAACTTGGCAGCACAATTTGGGGAGGAGGGCAGCAGCCAACAGTGGCAAAAGAACAGGCTAGGAACTATTTGGAAAAACTGGATGTGTACAAGTCCATGGGGCCAGACACATGGCACCCAAGGGTGCTAAGGAAGTTGGCCAATGTGACTGGCCTTAATCTTTGAAAACTTGGGAGATTTCCCAGGAGACTGGAAAAGGACAAATATAGTGCCCATCTTCAAGAAAGGAAAAAAGGAAGATATGGGGAACTGGAGACCTGTTGGCCTCATTTCAGTCCTTGGAAAAGTCATGGAGTAGGTCCTCAAGGAATCCATCTTTAAGCATTTGGAGAAGAAGGTGTTTAGGAAGAGTCAACATGGATACACCAAGGGCAAGGGCAAGGGCAAGGGCTGGGATGGAGTGCCACCACCTAACACCCCATGCTGCTGCTGTTATGCCTCCTGCAGGAAGCAGGGGGGCGTGGAATATGAGATGAAGGCAGCACTGCTTTGGAATCATGGTGGCACTCCCCCACACTTAAAGCACTCTAATTGGCTATTTCTGTCAGCCAATCAGAGCATGAATAAAGCATTATGAACAGACAGATGGACAGACTTAGTCTTTTATAATATTAGAATGACTGGTTCTGTGAATGCAGGAAGAGCAATGGATGTGATATACCTTGACTTTAGCAAGGCTTTTGATATGATCTCCCAAAATAATCTTGCAAGCAAGCTACTGAAGCACAGGTTGGATGAATGGACTGTAAGGTGAGCAGAAAACTGGCTAGATCATCAGGCTCAAAATGTAGCAATCAATGGCTTGATATCTAGTTGGTAGCCGGTGTCAAGTGGAGTGTGCCAGGGGTCGGTCTTGAGAACGGTTTTGTTCCATATCTTCATCAACAATCTAAAAGATGGGATGAAGTGCACCCTCAGCAAGTTTGCAGAAAACACCAGGCTGGGGGGAGTAGTAAATATGCTGGAGGGTAGGGCTAGGATTCAAATCAACAAATTGGAGGATTGGACCAAAAGAAATCTCATGAAGTTCAATAAGGAAAAGTGCAAAGCCCTGCACTTACGGCAGAACAAGTCCATGCATGGGTACAGATTGGGAGACCAACTGGCTAAGCAGCAGTTCTGCAGGAAAGGACCTGGGGTTACAGTGGACAGTAAGCTGAATATTAGCCAATAGCGGGGCCTCGTTACAAAGAAGGCTAACAGCATACTGGGCTGCATTAGTAGGAATGTTGCCAGCAGATCGAGGGAAGTGATTATTCCCCTCTATTTGGCACTGGTGAGGCCACAGCTAGAGTACTATGTGCAGTTTTGGGTCCCCTACCACAGAAGGGTTGTGGACAAATTGGAAAGAATCCAGCGGAGAGCAATAAAAACGGTAAGCAGATTGGAGAACATGGTTTATTAGGAGAGGCGGAGGGAACTGGGCTTATTTAGTCTGGAAAAGAGAGACTGAGGGGAGATTTAATAACAGCCTCCAGCTCCCTGAAGGGGGGGTTACAAAGAAGATGAACCTAGAATGTTCTCAGTGGTGGCATAACAAAGAGCAATAAACTCAAGTTGCAGCAAGGGAAGTTTAAGTTAGATATTAGGAAAAACTTGCTCACTAGGAGAGTAGTAAAGCACTGGAACAGGTTAGCTAGAGAGGTGGTGAAATCTCCATCTTTAGAGGTTTTTAAGACCCAAGCAGACAAAGCCTTGGCTGAGATGACATAGTTGAGGATGGTCCTACTTTGAGCAGGGGAGTGGACTAGATGACCTCCTGAGGTCCCTTCCAACCCCAATTTTCTATGATTCAATTATTCTAATCTTGGAGGAATGGAGAATTTAAGTAACATGAACCCTTCACCTTCTAATCTTTCCAAAGTAACAAAAATGAAAAACTGAACCAGCAGAGCAGCAGTTTACAAAACATAATGAAAAATTCCAAAAGTCTGTCTGTCTGTCTGTCTGTCAGTAGGAAATGGCTGTTGTAGAATAATAGTTTGTTTGTTGCATAACTTAGAATAGCTTGAGATTTCTATCTAAAAGCATGAGCTGGTGTCAAGTCCCCCATGGATTCAGCTACAGTACTACTACACTGGCATACATGCCGGCAAAAACTGCTCTTTTAATCACTTGAGTCAGAGGTCAGATTGAGGCTGAAAGTACTGGAAACCTAAATAATCAGTAAATTATGATAGTACTAATCTCTCTCCTACTAACTTGGTTCATCTACATGTCATTAAGGCAATGTGATAAACTCCGGAGCAGTTCGCACTAGAGAAAACTGCTCCTGGGCACACTGTTTACACATGTAGCACAGCAGTTTGAGCTGGGGCAGACTAGCCCCAGACTGACAGAGGGGCTGGGAGGGGTGGGGGAGTCAGCCCTAGGCTCTGAATGGCAGCAGGGCTGGCTGGGGCATGAGGGTGCTAAAGTGCAGGGCTAGACAGCAGAGAACCCCCTCCCCCCCCCCCCCTTTAGCACCCTCATGCCCCAGCCAGCCCTTGTTACTGTCTACAAGTGCATCTCAGTGAAGTTAATTAAATTGCTGCACCCTAATACCAGCACACATGTAGACTGTGATGCTTTACTATGGAGCTAATTAGTCAACTCCACAGTAAAGTGTATGAGTAAATGCACCAACTGTGCAGGATAATGGATAAGCCTCAGTACGTACTTACTTTATAGTGTAAAATAACAGCGCTCAGAGTTTGGCCACTGTTCATTTTTGATTTGGAGAATATCTTGAGGATAATACAAATGTAAATGAAAAACAGAACCCATTTCCAAGTTTCCTTTTTAAATAAATATAAGATGCTCATTGCTTTAATGCCAGGGGAGAACTGTGATCAGAATGTGAACCTGCAAGACTACTCAGCTAGGCAAGGGCAGTAGGGTCTGGATCCAATTGGTTTTTTCCCCCCCAGACTCTGAACTGGATTATATGCACTTTACCCTCCTTGTGCCTATACTGTTACATACAGCAGTCTTTGCTGAATGTGTAAGATATGACAAGAGTGCACCCTGGTGTTATACAGCCATGAAAAAGTAAGGAGTTAGGAATAAGACCTCTCCAATTCCACATACCTTTTTGCTGGACCAGCTCTATAAACGCACAGTAAGGGCGTTTATAGCCATGCTCCAGGAGGCAGGGGGGCACTTTAATTAGCAAGCTGACTAATTAAAAGCGCCCGAGCATCACGTGTATCAGAGTCCTTGCGCTGAAAAATGATGGTGGGATGCTTTAAACTAAACTCGCTGAATGAGCTTTAATTTAAAGCACTCTGCCACCATTTTTCAGCACGGGGACACCAATACACATAACACGCAGGGCTGCTAGAGCAATTTCCGATTAATCAAGTCTGCTCTGGCACACTGGATTTACAGCACGTGGAGCAGCCTCCCTGCATGTCTCTAGGAGCCCTAAGTGATAGACAGGGATAAGTCAGGCTGTATCCCTGTTTCTTTCTCCTGTGAGTGTATGGGTGGAATGTTTGCAAGACTACAATTAAGCCCTAGTTTTGCCCTCCCAACTGTCAAGAAGAGAAGCCAGTCAGAAAAGGGGAAAAAATCTGCTCCCTAAAAAGCAATAATGCATTCCGCAGACCCAGAAGAGAGTTGGGAATTGGAAGCATCTCTCTTGAGTGGGAATTCCTTCCCACAGCTGTTCTTGAGGTAGTAAAGCTCCAAACCATCAAACCCTCATTTATTCAGATACAGTCCATCAACATTAGGGATAAATGTGTGCTACAGTAAGGATAACCTAACAACTGATAGTCTTTCATGTATCTGGTAATTAAAGGAACACAAGTACTTTGTGTACTTTCATTTGCTCTGGATGTTTATAAACATCCAGAGCAAATGAAACTCTTCAAAAGTGACAAATTTATAAAAAATAATTTATAAAAAAAATAATGAAAAACGAATAGAATGTGTATGCATGTACATGTGTGTGCATGTGTGGGTAGGAAGTGAGGTTTAACCATCAGAATAATGACGCTTGCATGACACAACTTAGATTATGGACAGGTATTTATTTGTAGTGTTTTGGCACTTCGTAACACTACAAAACTGTAGTGCTTGTGGACATGCAGGCATTCCAGCCCCTTCTCTGGAGATCTGCAAAGTCTGAAGAGCTATAAAACTGTTGCAAAAAAGTGAGCTCTCCACCTGAGGAAAATAGTAGGCTATTCCTATTGCTCTGCCACCCCAAAGGAGCCCAGTCACTGAAAGCCTCTCTCCCCCCTGACAGGAAAGGGGGGCAGGCTATCAATGATCAGCTCCCAGCTGCTAAAAAGCAGCAGTAACAAAGACAGCTCCCCCCACTCCCCAACCTGTAGGGGTGGCAGGAGTAAGGATACCACTCTCCTCACCCCTACTGCCAATGCCAGGGCCCCAGATCATGCAGGGCTCTTAGAGTGCCAACATGAATTCCCCACCCTAGCCCTAACACCCTCTGGCCAACTGATTGCCACAGGGTGCAATGGCAGGTGGAGACGGGGGTTAGGGTTAGAATGAGAGACTTCTCCCCTCCACTTAGAATGTCAGTTCTGTCCAGGACTTTTTATGCAGCTACAGGAATTACACCCCCACCCCCATACACGCTTGAAGAGTCCCAGGCAGAGCCAAGACTGTTCAAGTGCAGCTGAGCAGGCAATCAGGGAGCCAGCCACTCTCCCTCCCTTCCTCCCTCCCCTTTGGGAAGAGAGCAGCAGACTGTGGGATGCTGGGGGTCCTAGAGATCCCTGTAGTACTACAAGTAAATGTACAGGCATTACATATAATGCTACATAATGCTGCTAAGACGCTCCTGTTTGAAAATACTGATATTTTGTAGTGTTAAGGTGATATTGAGGCCTGAGCAAGTGTACTGATATACCAGAAAGCTTGCCTATGTCTATACCAACCATACAGTTCGTCCAAAAAAAGATATCACCCACAATATCTTGTTTCATAGTTGGTAGGGTCGGAAGGAACCTGAGAAGATCATCTAGTCCGACCCCCTGCCATGGCAGGAAAGAGTACTGGGGTCAAACGACCCCGGCCAGATGTTCGTCCAGACTTTTTTTAAAGACCTCCAGGGTAGGAGCCAGCACCACTTCTTTTGGAAGTTAGTTCCAGGAAGTTAGTTCCAGGTCCGAGCTGCCCTGACAGTGAAATAGCACCTCCTAATGTCTAGCCTGAAACTAGCCTCCGCTAGCTTGTGTCTGTTGTTTCTTGTAACACTTCCTGCATCTTTGTAGTGCTATACATAGCATGTTTTTTGCTGTGCTACAAGTACACATTCAGCACTACAAATATACTGCCTGTCCATGGCCTTACAGCAGCATAAGCTGAAAATTTTAAGAGTGTATGTTGACATCAGGTCCCTCACTGATTCAGCTAGAATAACAGTACATTGGGCCAAATGCTGTTCTCAATTCCCCCGTGAAAATCTGTGAAAGGCTTGAGTGTCTATTTCCAGTGTGTTTGGGACCAGTTCTGCTCTTAGTTCAACTACTGTAAATAAGGGAGAATCCTACTAAACTCAGTGAAGTTATATTGGTGTAAAGCCAATGTAAATGAGATTACAAGCGTGCCCTCTGTTTTTAGAAAATGTTTCTGGGTTAAATTTAAGGCACTAAAGGGCCAGATTCTGCCACCCTTATTCATAACCAGCAAAGGCTGAGCCTGTAGAGTCTGTTTTCTTCTTCAGTGGCACCACCTGTAAAGTAAAATGAATGACAGCAGAATTTTGCTACCCTCAGTCACTTAGGGTGCTGACAAAAATCACGTGTCACATGATCAGTCCCCTGAAAGCACTCTATAGTCATGCTGTGATACATGTACATGGCTGTAGAGCGCTTTAAAAGTGGCAGATCGCACAACAAAATAACCCTCATCTCATGAGGGCTCAGATGAAGGCACTCCTAAATGGAATACCTTAGGGAAATTTTGTCAATCCCTGCACGTGATCAGGGATAGGTTACATCAACCCAGCCCAGCCCCGTTCCCAGTACTGTCTGCATGAAGGGAGGGGTGAAAAGAGAGGAGGAGGGAGCTGTGGGCTGGGGTTTGCCCAACCTGAGCTGGAGAGCAAGTGGGTGGATTGGAGCCCCCTCACCACCACCTCGACCTCACAGCCCCCCTCAACTCCATCTGGGTAAACCCCAGCCCACAATTCCTTCCCCCTCCCTTCCTGCAGACAACACCAGAGCTGGTGGGGAAGGGGGCAGGGCTAAGGGAAATTGGCTGCAGGCAGGCTCTTCCATTGGATCAGTTCCAAAGTGGAGCTCAATTCCTGACCCCCACCCCCACAACCCACAGGTCTGTTGGGTTGGGGGAGGTTGCTCTAACTCATGGCGCTTTCTGTATGTAATAGAAATGTGCCATGAGTTAGAGTACTACTTTACAGTAATGTGTCCTACTTTACAGTAATGTGTCCTCAACATAAATAAGGTTGGGTGGCAGAATTAGGCTTAAATGAAAAGGTAAAGATAGTAAAATTAACTGGCCACTACATAATTTTCCATCATGTTTTTTACCTGCAGAATCTCAATGATTTTTAATTTGGTGTCCATCACAATCACATCTTCACTTTCCGTAGTACTAGCTTGCTTGCTTGGGTGGATGCTTGGTGGTACATCAGGAGTGCTGATAGGAAAGATAGATCCTCTGCTCAGCACCATTTGTGTCATCATCTCTCCCACACCATGGATAGTCCTCATAACGTTGTTTCCTATGCAGGCAAAAAAAAATTTTTTTTTAATCATATAATCAGTGACAATCACTGTCAAACTAGAAACAAAAACTATTTGCGCAATCAAAAACCTTGACAATATTACTTGACATTTACTAAGGACTAAGTTTTCTCTTTGCAGCTGAAACCCCATCACAGGGAAGGAGTTAAGCCAAAATGTCCATCAGTTTTGCAACCAGAGAAACTTCCACAAGAGGATTCACTCACTTACAAGGCCAAAGGATAAGATAAGAACCACATCATTCCAAATACCCCCATGAATGAGTTTATAAGCCTTTTTGCAGAGAAAAGTTCCAGAGAAAAGTGAGCTGTTCAGCTGCCGTGCAAATTTCCACTGATGACTCCCCTCCTGAAGATTGCTTCAAGGGCTGCCTGCTATACTGATGATTCTAGTTATGTAGAGCTTACTGCAACCACCAAGTTATTTTAAATAAGACCCTCAGAAAGAAAGGACTTTTCTTCTCTGAAGATATAATCTGGACTTCAAACAACAACCTAAGGATGGAAAAATCTCTGTATGCTATACCCTGTTACCAACCCCATTGGCTATTCAGTCACTTAATCAACTGGCAGGCTGTTTTTAAACCTTTGGTGTGCCTGCTATTTGAAGAAGAATGTATTGCATTAGAAAGCTTGTCTAAATCCATCCTAATCATGCAGTTGGTCCAATAAAAGATATCACCCACAAAAATCTTTGCCTCGTATTCCCTGAGTCATCATGGTTACATCATTCCAGCACTACCCAAATATGAAGGATATCCAAATTTACCACTTGCAGTGGAAAATCCACAACCTAGGTGGAATGTTTTTAATGTTTACTGTGCATGCTTTCCCCTCAAACCTGAAGAATGCACTGCATTCAAAAGCTTGTCTAAGTCTCTCCCAACCATACAGTTGGTCTACTAAAACCTCACAATACCCTTTGTCTTTCATACTAATCATTTAGTTATTGTGTACATTTATATCTATATGTGTATTTTTTTTAACTGTTCAGTAGAGATAAAAAATAATGACTTGGCTTATACCTCAGGCATGCTGTGTAAATGAAAATGCATTGTGAACATCACAGAACATAACTTTTGGTGGAAATATTGATTTTGGGTTATTTGAAACATGCCCATACACAATACTGAGACGGTACACACGTTCAAAGAAATTGGGCAGTCTACAAGATTAACCAAATGTTTGAACCATGACAGCTTCCACCTTGTAACAAACTAAGACTCTGTTTCCATTTGTTCATCTCTCCCATATCAGAAAAATCCTAGGAAAAGGACTGGTCTTAGGGCCAGACCTGAAAGGTAAAATACCTCTGGAGATATAGCTCCTTCTATCAGCAGCTTCTGGAAAGAAATTCATTATTTTCCTCAGTTCAATGTAGCCCTCAAGATCCAACAAACACCTGCTGAAGTCAATTCTACTGGCTCAGCTGGGACTGGATCAGACCCTGCCGTTTGTTCACACAAACTGTGCTGTGTCTTCTCTAACTTAAATTTTGATATGAACAAAAGCTCTGTAAATGAATGCTAGGATTCACTCTAGGACAGGAAGGAGGAGCAGAAGGAGCCTGAAGAGAAATATGCACCCAAAGGTTCTTACTTTAGGAAAAGGCAATAATGGTTCCAACCAGGTTGAACTGGTCTCTTTCTAAGTAACTCACAGAAATAAACTACTGGAGCAAGAAAATGGAATGATGGAAAGACCCTTACTTCAGAGAAAAAATAAGAAAAACCAAGAATCCCCACAGTACACAAAAGCAAACAGAACTGAAAAGGTATCATTCTCCAGGGGAAGGTTTAGGGAGTTCTTGAATGTCTTATGTATACTTTTAATCACCTTGCAACTGCCAAGTTCTACACACACTGCAGTGACCCTCTTCCTGTATAATTTGTTATAAAGGGCACAATCATATTTTAGCTTGCTAACAATACCCTCCCCTTGTGCTCTTCCCTCTACAATTCACAAAGTTTAACTACTATATGCAAGAAGAGAAAAAGCCATTAACCCAGACTTACAAAGACAGACACACAAAGAATTTGCTTTTTCAAAGGGAACGCAAGAGATTAGTGTCATGTTTCATGTCCTGCTCAGCATTCAGTGCACAATCAGCCTGAACTGGCCTGTCGAAAATAATACTTTGAGTCTACACAAAGGGGAAAAAATATTTCTGACTTTGCATGATGTTAGGGGGAAAAAAGCTTGAGGTCTAACTAAGGGCTAAATGCTAATATCAGGTTGCTACCCAGACTGATTCTCTTAACTGTCTACATGTACATACGCACAAAGTGGTCAAAATCAGACCAAATATCCTTCTAAGATGTGCTGCTGAGAATTGCACACCCAACACAGTCTTTCTTTAAACTGCACAAAACATGTCAGAATATGCCAAGCTGCCTACACAATGTTTCTTTGCATGGTTTTCAATGCAGTTACACCAGTGTAAAATTGGTTTCCAACATGGAGAATTAGCCCCCTTGACCTTTAGACTTACTTCTGTTAAACTGTGTCTGCAGCGTGTTTACTATCAACCTGTGACATGGACGATCTCATTCATACCATCTTGTTCTTTAAGCTGCATGGAGGTGGCAGACAAACAGAAGCATACTCTATAGGTCACACTCCAAAACCCACAAGCTGTGAAGCCCTTTCCTGACATACCACAGCATTTCTTGAAAACTGTAGATGGAGATTCAATGTTCTCCAGTATCAACAGAGATTTCATAATTCCATTCTCCAGGAAGTCATGAGGTTGTATTTGGTAACTTCACTGGTATTCGGAAAGTTCACAAATTCTATATAAAAATAACTGAATCAATAGTATCATGCCACGGTACAACTGGTATAACAAAGCAGACACTAAGACACAATTTTAGGGAAGGACAAGACACTGGTCTTCTTCTACATAAGGCCCAGTTTCTTTCTAATATGGCAAATCATGAGGGATATTTTTCAATGATTTCAAAAGGAGGTGGAAGTGCCCAACACCCCGTTAAGAACTGAGGCCATTTTAGGTAGATAGTCGTCATACAAGTTTGCAATTTCTGTTTGGAAACTCCCTGTAAATAATGGTCATGTCAACTCCTCTCTGAAAAATACTGCTGCAATAGGGAAGTCCTAGGTACTATGCACTAGAGAACTAAACTTGTGTTTTTCCACAAACACTGCTCAATAGCAGCCCATAGTTGTGCTGGCTCAGGACCAGATAAAGAATCAAATTGTTACTCATTCACAGTATGGGTCCTGGTTCCTCTTTTGGATGAGATGGAGTAATTTCCCCAACAACAGTTTTGATCAGGGGTGCTCAACTTCCAGCCTGCAGTCACATTATCTACCTTGTGGGTCTCCCCACAGATCCAGAAATTTGGCAGCAGGGTGGCAGTGTTAATTGCCATTCCCCAGTGGCCAAATTTCTGGACCTCTGAAAAGCTCTGTGGGCTAAGTAACATAACTCTGCAGAGGAGTTAGGCTGATGAGTGGCCACATCTGGACATGTAGGATCAGGCTAGCCAGCAGCAGGATCAGGATAGCATGTACCAGGATCCAGGTATGCTGGATTGGGCCAATGTGCAGGGTTGCTTCACAGCCAGATCTCACCTGCAAATCAATACCATGTGCTGACCCCATACTAGACCTAGCCTGCAGACCAGCTCTGCTCCACTCATCCAGCTTGCAGTGTTAGACAGGTTGAGCACCACTAGTTTAGACGGTTATAATGAGGACTAAGAACCAAGGCTATGCCCAGTCCCTAGAGTTATGCTGGTGGTGTGAAGAGAGATGGTCCAGTAAAAGGAGACTAGATTGGAACATGAAACACCCAACTCCAGTTCTTGCAACCTTTCTTTGAGCCTTACTATCTGACCAAAGCCCAGTGGGTCTCAAACAGGGTGCCACAACATGCTGGGATACCTTGAGATCTTTTCCATGGGTGTCACAGGATGTCACAAAAGGTTAGTACTGTTAAGTGTGAAAACATGATTCACAAGATACACCCAGAGTTTTCAAACAGGAATTCATGGTGTTAAAAACATTCTGACCTGTTGCGGGTTTTCTGAGTTCTATGCAACAGAAGAATTGCTCGATTATTTTCCTGTAGTCAAAATTAGAGGGGAAAAAAAAAGCTAGCATTTTCCAAAGGTTGCCTCAGGTCTATCCAAGGGTGCCTCGAGTCTAAAAAGGTTGAAAACCGCTACCATAAGCAAACCAATCTCTCTATGCCTCAGTGCGACACCTGTGAAATAAGGACCACAGCGCTTCCCTGACCAACAGGTATTGCAAGTCCTAGAACAGGGGTAGGCAACGTTTTTTGGCCAGAGTGCCAAAAAACACCACGGTGCCTACCTTGGAATGTGCCGGGGTGCTGGCATGCCAGAAAAGCAAAATGATGGCAGGGGATATGTGGCAGGATGCCCTGCTTGTGCCCCTTGCCCCCCAGCCCTGCTGCCCTCTGCCCCCCATCCAAAGCCGGACTCTGTGGCTGTCAGCAGCTACCCTGGCTCTGGGTAGCTGCTGGACCTCGGGGCAGCTCCCAACAGGGCTTGCAGCATCCCAGCTGCCTGCTGGGAGCAACCCAGGCTCCTGGCTAGCAGCAGCTACCTAGAGCCAGAGCCAGCTGCAACCGGGAGGCTCCAAACGGCTGTGCCGGGCTCCGGAGCCCCAGCATCAGCTCTGTACCAGCGCGTGCACCCGCACGTGGGAGCGGGTGGTGGGGAAGGGGCCTGAGGCAGCACAGTTTCTCTCCCGCTCCTGGCACAGAGCTGGTGACTGGGCTCCAGAACCCAGCACAGCTGTTTGTAGCCAGCCTGGGCTCTGGGCAGCTGCAGCAAGTAGCGGGCAGGCTGCAAACAGCTGCGCCAGGCTCCACAGCTCCAGCATCAGCTCCATGTTGGCGATAGCTGCATGGGCACCTCGGGGCAGGCTGCGCTTTCCTGCTGCCTGCCCCGAGGTGCACAAGCATGGAGCTGATGCCGGAGCTGTGGAGT